CTACAGCCCACTGGTTCCCAGACACAGGCTATACTGGGCAGCTCCAAGAACCAACCATAGAGGCAGAGGGAAGTCAAGCACCAGCAGTCTCTGAGGCCAGCACTACACCTGAGGACATTGAGCAGTTTGTGCTGAGCTACCTCAAAGAGAAGGATGTGGCAGAGGGGAATGTCTCCAGCTCTGACTCTGACAACGAAGAAGGTAATTGCTGTTTATCTTGGCTTAGCTGGTTCCTTCTGACATAATTGTGAAAATAACAAAATGTCATTCCAGAAAGTACTAAAGAAGCATTACCCATAACCTCACATGCTAACAACCATTCTTTATTTGCATTCTTCTTTTTCCGTTTTCTTATTACAAACCCATTTTTACTGGGCAGGCAGAGACTGGAAGATCCCTGAGACTTGCTAGCCAGCCAGTCTAGCCAAATTGGTGAGCTCCAGGTCAGTGAAAGACCCTGTCTCAAAGGAGGTGGACAGTGTCCCTGAGGGTGACACCTAAGATTGACTTCAGGCCTCTATGCACATGTGTGTACATGTATGCATCATGAACTGCACACATAACCACACTTGAAAAAAACAAAAGCAGATTGTTATTACTTCCTTCAGGGGTGCGGTGGGAAGGGTTACTGTTTTCTAGAAAGGCTCGATAAAATCAGATTCCTTCTTAACCAACAGGACTTAATGTCACTTAAAAGCTTACTGAGATGAGAGCCTATGAGAAGACTCAGGGAAAGGCTTTTGCTGCCAAGCCTAATGACCTGAGTTGAATCCTTAGGACCCATGTGGTGGAAGGAGAGAACTAACTCCCTCCGGCTTCCATGTGCATGCCCCTCCTGCTCTAAATAAATAATTTTTTAAATTAAAAAAAAAAAAAAAAAAACTACTATGCCGGGCATGGTGGTACACACCTTTGATCCCAGTACAGAGGCAGGCGGATGTCTGAGTTTAAGGCCAGCCTGGTCTACATAGTGAGTTCCAGGTCAGCTGACCCCCGCCTCTCTGTTCACTCCCCCTCTTCTCTAAAAAAAAAATTTTTTAAATTTAAAAAAAAAAAAAAAAAAAACTACTATGCCGGGCATGGTGGTACACACCTTTGATCCCAGTACAGAGGCAGGCGGATGTCTGAGTTTAAGGCCAGCCTGGGCTACATAGTGAGTTCCAGGTCAGCTGACGCTACAGGGGGACCTTGT